CTCATGAACCGCGAGATCACGACCCGAGCCGAAGTCGGACGCTTTAACCGACGGAGCCACCCAGGCGCCCGTGCAGACTTTTCTTATAGCCTATTGACTTGTGCTCTACACACAATTCTAATGTATTTTGTTCTGTTTTTCTAGTTGATGGCAGTTTAGAAACCTATTTAGAACCAGAGAAGCACTGACATATGACTGAAATGGCACAGAGACAGAAAAAGTATAAACAGCAGGCGTGAGAACACAAAGAACAAAATCATCCTGCTCCTGGGAAAGCGGCCTTCGTTCCCTCAACACTGACTTGCCCTCTGGACAGATACTGGACTGAGACTGGGGGCAGGAAGGACCTTACTCCCGTGGATGGTTCTGGTCTGGGAAGCCGCATCCCTTCTTTTCTTCTTCCTTTTCCTCCTCGTTACATAAAGAAGCTAAGACAGCTTACGAAACTACACACAATAAGATAGAGCTGAAAAAACGTCATAACCAGGAATCATGCCATCGGGCGAGAAGGCCACCCTCCAGAGATCCGCAGGGCTCTTTAGCTCTAGTGCGATTTAGGGCAGGGGTCCCTCCAGAACCGCCCAGGATCTATGTGCCACTTTAGCGGCTGGACCTCACCGCGAAGGTGGCTGGGCTATGTGTGGGAATGGGGATGGTAAATGGAAAATGGAGGCCCACCTGCTCTCAGGAAGTCCTACTGAAGGTCTAGCAGCTCGTCATCTGGGTTCCCCTTGTGCACTTTCCAGGCCCTCTGAGCTAATAAGACCTGCTGCAATCCACACCTAACCCTGGCCCTGAGGACTCCAAGGGGCAGGCAGCCGAGGCTCACCAGAGAGGGAGGACCTTTGCCTCGAGGAGGTTCAGCAAGGGCTGGGGTCTCACCCTCTAATCCATTCCTCCCCTGCCTGTCACTCCAGTTGGTAAGCAGTGATTCCACCTTCCAGACCCCCTTCAGGATTCTTCTTCGTATCTGGCTTATAACTAGACCAACCCCTCCCCTCCCCTCCCCCAGGACAGAGAGCCCCCCAGTCTCCATCAGAGCTGACTTCCTCACCGAAGCTGTACCAAGGCCCAGCAGAAGGGACCCAAGACATCAATGAAACTCACTGCTGCATCTCACAGATGGGAAAACACAGGCTTAGAGATGGGAGTGACTGGCCCAAGATCACACAGCCTGTGTGTGGGTGACTGAGGACTAGAGGCCAGGCTTCAAACTCCCAGAGCACTGTGGTTCTTCTGGAAATCATGGCGCAGGCTCTTCCAGCAGGCTCTCAGGCAGCCGGACTGCCCCCAGACCCCTCTCCTGCATTTCTCCTGTTCTTGTAGCCCTCCCCACGTGAACACTTCCAGTCTGTGAAGGGCTGGCCAAGGGGAGAGAAGATAGGGTTAAAGTGGGGATTTTATTTAATCCTCTGAGCTGGCTTAAACCGATGCCACATTGGTTAGAACAGGAGAAACATACAGAAGGGTTTGGCGGCGGGTGGGGGAAAGGGGAGGGCATTAGTGAATAATCACTAGATACCGAGAGGCTTGGCCTGCCAATGAATTTAGCAGACAACTACCCTCCTTCATGGCGTCTCCACCCCAGGGCCTGAGCCTCCAACTACTGACCCCCTTCCCTGGGAATAACCCAATCTCCAGGGTACTCAACAGTGTAGAGCAATGGAAAGATCCCAGGCCATAGATTGAGACGCATCTGAAGGCAAACCCCAGTTCTGCTACTTACTCACTGTGTGACCTTAGGCAAGTCACTTGACCTCTCTGAGCCTCTGCTTCTTCCTCTCTTAAAGGGGGCTGAACATTCCTTCCTTGCAGGCCTCCTGGGAAGGAAGACTACCTGAGCTCATGCACATAAAGAGGCGCAGGGGAGGCATTGAGTCAGATGTGAGTGCTATTATTACAAATCTCATATCCTTTATCTCTCATCCAGGCCCATCCATTACTCTTCTGCCTCGGCCTGCTTGCGTCTTTGACATTAATAACCTTAATGATAATAATCCTTCCCAGCCAGCCCTGCCGGTACTAGCCAAAGCAGACCCTCAGCCCCCAGGCACATCTTCCCGCAGTGTTTCTAAGAGGCAATTTGGGCACTGAGCTCAAAGACCCTGAACAGACATGCTGTCTTACGGCAGGCAGATTTCACAGGGGCAGTGGTAGCCCCTGGCTTATCAGAAGGAGCCAGGACCACCCCTCCCATCACCTCCACAGCTGACCCTCCATCTGGTCCACTACTCTGACCACGAGTAAGCTGCCCTCTCCATGTTGGCCTCCAACTCTCCGATTCTGACAGCCAGGTGGGCAGCTACTGGAATCTGGCCTTGGGTGTGTGGATTGCCGGACCAAATGCCAAGGCCAGGCTGTGAGCTCCTTACCCTGAAGGAGCGCTCTGAGAAGTGTGGGTTCACACCCTGGATCTTCTTCTTGGTTCTTCCACTATCTGTCACCAGCCCCAGGATCCACATTATCGTCCTCATATTCCACAAGAGGAAACTGAGGCCCAAAGCAGAAGGGCCCAGCCAAGGTCATCCACGAGGTTTGGGGGTGATCCGGGGAGTGAACTCAGGTCTCCTCAGGTCTCCTAATCCTGGGCACTTTCTACCACCCTGGTCAGCTTTCCATACCAGGGAGGCCCCGAAGTCTCTCCAATGAACCTGGGCCCCAGTGCCAACAGTCCAAGAACTCTCTTCCAATATGGGAACTGCCAGAATGCGCATCTCTCCCTTCCCTGTCACGTTCCCTCTTTAAGCCAGTCGCCACAGAACCTGTCCTATCCCTGGTAGCAACTCCCGGGGCTGGGGAGCGCCTTCTCCACTGAGTAACTCTGGAGGGGGGCCAGGGATGGGCAGCAGGTGGGTAGGTGGGGGCTTTTCCCCCTCGGAGGGCCTTCCCCCAGATGACAAACTGCTCCCCACACCCATCCTGCTGGAAGTAGATCGCCCTCCCGTGGCGTGGCGTCTAATGGGGACACCACGCGCTGCCCATCAATTGCACCACTCTCCTAGGGGTTAAAAATGGCATCCTAAATAGGGAAGTGAATGCAGTCAGTGGGGTAGGCTGGCAGCAGAGATACCGTCCCAACCACCGTGCATGTGTTGGGCAGGGTTTGGACCCATCCCCTTCCCTCCAGTCCCGGGGGGTCTGAACGATCGGGAGGGACTGGGAAGCAGAGGAGGCGCGGCGTGCCGCCTCGGCACCAGAGTGTGCGCCTCCCCACCACACACCTCCCCTTCCCTGCGCCTCTGCAGAGGCCGGGCTGGGCTGGCGGGGTCCCGGGGCAGGGGCAAGGCGGTTGAGCGGCGCGCCACCAGGACAGTCATGCAGGTGTTCCTGGTGGTGGTGTGGCGGCGGCGGGGCGGTGGCAGTGGTTCAGGGGTCCACCGCGGGCCGAGGTGGCGGCGGGAAGTCCGATATGGCGGCGGCGCGCTCCCCACGAGCGCCCGCGGCGTCTCAGAGTCGGGGGTCGCGCTCCGGCGGGCGCGTGGACGCCTGGTCGCGTCGCCTGCCGCCGCTGATGTCAGCCCTGAATGCATTTATAATAGATGAGCCTCCCTTCATGCAGGTAGGCGAGAAGAAAGTGAGGGGAGAGGGCCCTAGGGGCTGGGGGTGGGGCGGGGGTGGAGGAAGAGGGGCCGTGTGGGACAGCTCAGGCTGGGCAACTGCCGCTCCCTATCTGGGCTGCCCCAATATGGCCTCCAGACCCCTTGTGCCCGCGGATACGGATGTCCGGGAGAGGTCAAGCCCCAGACCCACAGGAGGCGCGGGCTGTAACTATACCGAGAAAATTCCTGCTGGTCTGGGATTGTATGGAAGTCACGCCACTGACCGGGGAGGGCGTGCCGGGTGTGGCCGTGGAGACTCGCGGGCTCCCCTGAGGTTACACGTCCTGCCTGGCTGAGCCGCGCGTAGTGAGAGGGTGGCGGCGGGCCGCAGGTTCTCGCCTGGAGCACAGGGTCGCGGGATAGGGCAGTCTGAACTCCAAGTCCCCAGCAGGATACAGCCTTAGATATAAATTTCTGCCGCCAGTTTCTGGGCTAGAGGAGGAAACAGGACCAGACTGAAGTGCATTTTAGACAAGGCATACATGTCATTGCCACTTGGCCCAGGCAGTCAAGTGCCCGTTTTTTTTCCACGTCGCCAATAGTCTCCTGAACCCCATGCTGTAAACACTGAGGCGGGGACTTGCCCCAGGTGAGTCCACTGGGTACAGCTTGCCTGTGGTTCATAGGTTGACCTGTGTGGTGCAACTCGACTCTGCCTTGGAGCTGCCAGAGTGATGGCTGAGGAATGTCTCACTGCTAGCCCCTCCTGAGCACCCCGAGCAGTAGGCTTCACAAGGATACTGAACTGCTGGGAGGGACTCCTGAGGGGATAGGGGTTTTTGGGGTGACAGGAGGTGAGGTGGAGGATCTTCTGCAAACCCTCTCCTCAGGTGTAAGCCTGGAGGGTATTTCCAGCTCCCACCATTGTACTAGAACTAGACCCAGTGGACGTGGAGAGGGGAGGGGGTACCCGGTTGAGCGTTCCGTGTGGCAGAAAAAAAGCCAAGTGCGTGAACAGGGAGCCTGCTCTCTTCAAGGAGCCCACCGAGTAGATCATAGTACATGAGTAATCAGCACCCAGATGCTTTGTGGACGCCCTGCTTTTTATTTCTCCTGTAATCCCATGCAAGGCGAGGAAGGAATTATCACTTCTCTTCTGCTGAGGAACAGACTCAAGAGAGGGAGAGGACCTTGCCCAAGACAAGGACAGTGACAGAGGACTTGGAACAGAAGTCTTTTTCTTTTTTAATTTTTAAATGTTTATTTTTGAGAGAGACAGAGCGAGCTTCTGAGTAGGAAAAGGGGCAGGAGAGAGAGAGACAGAGAGAGAGAGAGAGAGAGAGAGAGACCTAACTGTGGCTCCGGCACCACTGTCAAAGGGAGCTTTCTCCTCTCTTCACAAAACCCCTGAGATAACCATCTGGGCTGAAATGAAAGAGCCTCTCTGCTTGCCAACCACCTGAGTTTTAGATCAGGCACAGCCTGTGCCTGGCTCTGCTCAGGGCAGCTCAAGGGGGGGCCTGGCTTCCCTATTTGAGCTCTTCATACATTGTCCTAGATGGGAAGGACAGCTCAGTCCCGGTTCCACAGAGGCTGGAAGCCTCCCTCCCACCTACTAGTTCTCTTGGGGAGCAGATGCTCCTGTGTGCACACCTTCCTATTTCCATGTGGGACTTCTTCTTGGCCACACATTGTTGAAGTTGTACCCCACTCCAGCCCCCCATACTTCCCTGTTTTGGGTCTGAGTGCCTAGTCTTGTTTTCATGAGCTTGCCGTCAGTCGAGATGGTGAGCTGACAAGTGTCCACAAAGCACACCTCTTACTGAGTACCGCTTCAAACAGTTGGTGCTTGGTGAGTCTGTAATGCCATTAACAACGAATCAAGCAAAATAAACCTTTGACCTACATTAGAAGAAATTTAGATCCACAAAAACATCTCCGTCATCTAGCTATCCAGCATCAGAAATGGGTTGCATTCCCTGTCTCCACGGTCTTGGGTAGGTCAGCCTTCAAGACAAGAAGATGGACTTCAGGACCTTTTCCAGGGCCCCTCCAGTCCTTCTTGGAAGCCATTAAAGGTACTCAAGAACACCAGTCACCCTTCCCCCATGGCTGTGACTTGTCCACTTTTATCTCTCATGGATATTTAAAATCCCAGATTGTTAGCCTCAGCTACCCAGCATGCCTCTTGGCACCTTCCCCACCATCCGCCGGCATTGTGGGCTCTGGGAATGAGACAAATACTTAATATCAGCTTGAGCCAAATGTAATTAGGAACATCAATCTGCTGCCCACAACCCATGTGACACGCTCCAAAGGCAGACAGAAAACGTTCCTGATCCCTCACGTGCCAGTGGCTCACCCCTCTTGTCTCATGTCCCCAGTCAGGACGGAGGTCTGGGAGCGTGAGGACCCTCTCAAAGAACTCTGCATCCACTTGCCAAATCAAGGGTTTGGCCCAGAGAAGATACTCAGAAATGCGTTTTCTGTAGTACAGTTGTCTATACCACGATACCTCCTGCCCCAGGTCTCCCACCCTGCAGCCCATCTTAGTTTGGAGTCTCCCGAAAGCAGAGCCTGAGGAAGGAGTTGGATGCCGGTGGTCTAATGGGAAGGTGATCTCTGGGACCAGGCACGGAGCTGCAATGGAAGCCGAGGGAAACTGAGGGAATGCCCTGCAAATTGGGGAGTAAATGAGAGTGCGCTTGTCTCCCCTAGACACTTTGGCGCCTCGATGCTTTAGACTATGCTCTCTCTTTGGCCTCGGATGCCTCTACCCCGCTTTCTCTGCCTGGCAGACTCCTATTCATCTTTCAAAGCCCAGCTCAAATGGCACCTCCTCTAGGTGGCTCTCCTGACATGACCTCCACAGTGGCCTGATCCAAACTGTGTCATAATGGCCAGAACTAAGTAGATTTGTCCTCTTTGGATGGGCTCTGACCATGTGTTCTCTCTTTCTAATCACAAGGCATGGCTGACACATGGGGCATGCTGGGTAACGGCTCAACCAATCCAATAAGACATCACCTTTAGCTTCTGCCTTAGTAACCCCTTGGCTCCGGTCCCGGCACCCCAGAGTGAGGCGCTGGGTCTCTCAAAGTCAGGCTCCGCCCTGACTAGTGTGTTCATTTGCCCGGGCGCCATGTTGGGAGTGAGAAGGGCTTGGTCCTTGCCCACGGACGTGGGGACACATCCCAGACCTGCTGCACCGTAGCAGGGAACGGAGGGGAATTTCCAAAGCCATGGAGCCCCAGAGGAAGGGGGTGTTCCTCCTGTGCTCACTGGCCGCCTCGTTCATGCCATCCCCTGACCTACAGGCGCATCCCACCTGCCCTTGGGTGCTCGGTCGACAGGCCCCGCAGACCTCACTGCCCCTCAAATCCTTCCCCCCCTCTCCATCTCCACTACCACTGCCCAGTGCAGCCATTTATTTTGCTTGGGCCTCCCTGACTGATCCTCCTGCCTCCTATCTTGTGCCCACCAATCATTCTCTACCCAGCAGCTCAGGCTTCCCTGAGGAAACACACACACAGACCTGCCTCCTTGAAATCCATCAGGGGCTCCCTGATGCCTTCAGGATGAAGCCCCAACAGGGCCCTCCAAGGCACACCCCAGCCCCTTTAATCCCTAGGCTTCCTGTCTCCGTGACACTCTTGCCCATCGCTCCCCCCTCAGCGCCCATCGGAGTCTTCCTCTTTCTTTCCTCCGATGTTGCCTCCTCCAGGGAGCCTCCCTGGACTATGACCAGGACTGTGATGGTTCAGATGCCAGCCTCTGTGCCACTTTCCATATTCCCGGAGCTTCCTTCTGCACTTTCGCATTGTTTTGTCATTTCCTGTTTGTGTGTTGGGCTTCCTGGAGGAGGAGGAGCTGCTTGAGGACAGGGACTGCTCTTTTTCTCGGTGGTTCCAGCACATCGCTTTGGCCCTTTCCCTCTATACAATTGTCCTGGTCCCCAGTTCTCCCTTCCTATCACTTTTCCATTGTCTTCCCAGTCTCTCTCCCCCGCTACCTGCCTCAGTTCCCGAGTTCTCTCCACCTCGTGTCGCCACTGTCCCCGCCTTTCCATGCCTCGAATCTGCGTGTCTGTGACCTCTCCACACTTCTGCACCAACAGACCCCACTCGTGCCTGCCTTTCCCACTCTGCCCTTCACCCCCCACCCCCTCCACTGCTCCTCATGCCTGGCTGGGGGCTCTCCTTCCTCTTGCCTTCCCTCCGCTGGACATTCATGCTCTCTCTTCCTCCTGTCTGTCCCCCAGCTCTGCCCCCCTGTCCTCTCATGTCTCTGTGTGCTTTTGTCTCTATGTCCCTGTCCCTGCCTCAGTCCGTCTCTCGCCCACTCTCTCTCTCCTTGTTCCTCAATCCCTTTCTCCCTGGCCCCTAGACAATGCACATAATACCGACTTTGGCAACGGGGCCCCCGACGTGGGGTGTCATCCTTCACCCTGTATCTGAGGGGTGGTGATCGGTGAGCCTCCTGAAAGTAGGCACATCTGTGTGTCCTTGGCTGGGGACACCCTCACCTGGGCCACAGGTGGGCCCAGTGGGCACAGTGGGCCACCCGTGCCCCACTCTGTGAGCCTGTGTGAGCGCATGTGGGTGTGTGTGTCCATAGGCGTGCTGCACACATGTGGGAGGCACGGAAGTGGATGAAGGAGGAAGAGCCACAGAACGGGGTTCAGTGAGGGAAGCCAGAGGTCAGCGCCTCCCCGCCCCCACCCCCCGCCCCCAGTCTGTTCTTCCAGCTCTCTCTGGGGCCACGATGGTAAACAGGCACGTTTAGTCACAGGGAGGGAAGATGGTTTGCACAGGCAGACACTGCATGCGCAGCCCAGAGACAGAGCACTGGGGACAGGGTATCTGCCTGAGGAGCTTGTGGGTTAGGACTCCTCCGGGGTGCAGGGAAAGGAATCAGGAAGTCTGAGTTCCAGCTCAAGCTTTGCCACGCGTGAGCATGTGGCTTACCAAAGCCCCATGGCCTCGCCAAGCCTCGGTTTACTCATTTACAGAATGAGATT